AACAAAAAAAACACGTTGAGAGAGTGATAGGTGACAGAGTCAAAGTTCTTTTGATATTTTTACATCAAAGAGACCTGTTATTTATATTAACGGGTCTCTTTGATTCAACATTATTTTTTTTTTTAACTGGTGAGTCACGTGCACCACCAGACACATGAATAGGTCCGCCCCTGCTTATAGGGAAGGCATGTGCTTCCTCTTACATATTTCACATAGAATTATTCCACAAAATATACAATTAATGAAACAATTGCTTTACAAATCTTTTTAGTTAGTGAAATTTATGATGACTTTCCATCAAATTTTAATACTGTATTAGATTTATACTTTGGATATTCATTATTAGTGACTTTCTTCAAGTTATAATATTAGAGTTGATTGATGTTTTTGATATGAAATTATTATTTAGTGCTTTTGGTTGTTAGGTGCAGTGAGCTGACATTACTACGTACGGCATTTTTTTTTCATTTTTAATATCGATTAAACTTATTTTTACTGAATCATTGTTTATACACTTCCTTCACGTTTCTTTATAGTTACAACACATATTTTATCGTAATATTTAAGAAAAGTGGACATCACATGATTTAATATACTTAAAATAGGGTTAAGAGGTTGTTAGGAGTATAATCAAGTGGGCCATGAGTTTTATATAAAGGTAATAATACAATTTTCACCATAAAAACCTTCCTTTTATAGTGTGTTGCAACTATTGTAACATTTTCATTTTAGAGAAATGTTGCAAATATAAAGAAACGGAGGAAATATATTTTTTGTGGAAATAACATCACAAATACCCCACATATTGCACCTTATTATTTGTTGTCGTTTTATCGTGTTTCTTCTTCGATGGTCTACCTACCATGACTAACAAGTCTTACAACAAACTATAACAACAAAAACCAATATTGAGTTAATGTTTATACTAGTTCGATCACCCCCTTTAAGTTTATGAAACTAGTTGTGTCTATTTTTTATTTTTTGGGTGTTTAGAGAGCCAGAAGGGCGGGAGGTGAGAATCGATTCCAGGATCTCTTAGAACCGGGAGAGAAGTTATAATTGTGTATAACTACGTAGTATGAAGTAGTGTAGGTTGAAACGTTTTTTTAGTGGAGTGGGAATAGACATTCTATAAAATTACGAAGGTATAGCCGTATAGCGCAGTCAAAACACTAATAAATGATTAAAATTTGATAGGTAACAACTAACAAGAAATGAAGTGCCCTTTAATCAAGAGACGAGAGCATATGAAATTCAAGGTCATTAGTGATTCATTAAGTCAGCTTCGTCATCTAAGTCTAGTAAAATAACTACATCTATGATACTATGACGACCCTTTTCACTATAGGTGCCCAGGTGGGTTACTTGTAATGACCGTTGAATTTAATGGTATTTATGCAACAAAATCATGGCCGCAATCGTGTCGACAACAAGCTACTCATTTTATATTTGAGAAATATTTTAGGGTAAATCGACTTAACTTTCGTGGGGTTGGTGTTCATGCAATCATGCATATATAGAATAACCTCTGTATATTATAACCTACTTCGCATAATTCACATTATATATCGACCTTGACCTTATATCAATATGCAGCTAGCTAAGTGTTCCTATAGGGCGAGGTTTGGTCACTAAATCTTGCCAGGTTCATCTGCACAAGATAAGATTTCGATTTAATTTGACTTTTTTTTTTCTATAAGAATATAGTTTTCTAGTTTTATAATTTCATATATATATATATATGTCGATGGCACTTAATCAAGCTAGAATTTCAATGACATATGTAAATCTACGAGTTTTGGGTTGATTAAACTATAAGGGGGCTACTCAAAATTTAAAATCAAATTCCGATTCATATATAAATTTTGTTCAATGCAACTATCTCTACACCAAAAGGAGAAGGAAAAGTAAAATAAATACATACTCCAATCCGTATAATATATTAACGTCAAGGCCAGGAGTGATATAATAATATAACTTACGAACTATTATTTAACTGTCCATTAAGAAAGAAAATAAAGGAAATCTTGTTAAGATGTTGGCGTCTCACTCCCCCAAGCGAGACATTAAGACTCTTTGTACTCAGGTTTTATATATCTTAATATAAAATTAAGGAATAACATGTATTATAATTAATACCTAAATTATCGATGAATGTGAGTGAACGGCAAGACTAAGCCACTTGGTGATCTAGAAGGAACCATTCATATCATGGATGACGACGAATATTAATACATTATTATGTATAATTTGCAACTTACAATTAATTAACGAATAATACACGTATGAACCAGTCATTGTCTCACATATTACGATTGATGACTGATGGGGATATCTATATGTTTTTTACTCATATTAGTCGTAATATATATTATTAATTAATCTAGAGATGAATTTTTTTGTTGCATTTTTTCCGGTATGATTGATGGGGATATATATTTATATTACTCTATATCTTATTATTATTATTATTATTATTATTATTATTATTATTTATTATTATTATTATTATTATTATTATTATTATTATTATTATTATTATTATTATTATATTTTGAGATGAGATTTTTGAGCTTATTCTAGTATAAAAACTTGGCATATATACATACTTATTATTCAAATATAATTTTAGAAGTATTTTTTAAAATTTTATAGTAGTGTATAATATATTTGATGTGACTTGTAGGTAATATACAAGTTAGAAATTCTTAAATACAAAACGTCTAAGGAAGGATGATCTTATTGAAATGTATGAGGAATGATGTTAATATGTGGATATGAATATACTACTTCGTATTAAAAAAAGCCAAATTATTGACACAAATTTAATTGATAAATAATATGACAAAATATAAACAAAGTTGGCTACTCGCCTACTCTCTTGACTCAAAAGCACAGTATGGTGCAATAAAAGTACAACTATTGGCATAGTTAAAATGAAAGGTTGGTAAAATCCACTGCACATGTCATAGTTAAAATGAAAGGTTGGTTAAATCATTTTCCTTGAGCGTTATTGGTTATTAGTGCAGACGTAAATCCAAGGACTTAATTAAATATCATGATAAGCGTACTCAATTCTTATTGCACAACCATCATAATCATAAATGCAATTGAACAATCAAGTTGTAGTAAATATTGTAACGAGAATTACAAAATCTTGTTAACTTGAATCGTAAAAGAGTTGTAACTAAGAATTGTAGTGTCTCTTCTAGATAAGTTCGTCAAATTGCATGCTGGGTTCAAATCGATACTAGTTGGATAAGTCAATTTTGATCTGAGTCATCATACAAGTTGAATTTTAGTTTTAGTCACTTATCTAGCTCAGTCGTTCCTTACTTGAGGCACTATGAATAGGGTAACAAAATTCAACTAAAATTTTTGGGTCAACGTTTTAGTAGGGCTTTTAGCAGTCAAATTATGATTGGCCTTTTAGCAGGGCTTCCATTGCAACATACGATCATAGATCCATAGCAGGGCTTCCACGTTGACCCAAAAAAAAAAAAAAAAAAAAAAAAAAAAAAAAAAAAAAACTTTGGCATGGACCGGTCATAGATTCATAGGACATGTTCGATCGTATGTTGCAATGGAAGCCCTGCTAAAAGCCCAATCATAATTTGCAAAAAGATGTCGAAAGACAATGTTAGGTTGAGCCCAAACTTGAGGGTTTATAAATTATAATAGTGGGGCTTTTATTTACGGACGATATAAGTAAAATAGTAATTGTATTATTTTTATTTTCCTCCATTTCTTTTTAGTTGCATTCTCTAAAAACGAAAGTTTTAAATTAGACGTGTCATCTAAAATGGAAGTTTTAAATTAGTTGCATCACTTTTTTTTTTTGTTAATAAACTCTCTCTATCTCTATCCTTATTTTTTTTCTCTCTCATCTCCAAAAATTACCTAAGAGTCCGCAATTTACAAAGTAATGCAATTAAAAAAATATAGAGGAAGTATAAAAATACATATTGTTTGAGTATGATTTTGATTAAGTTATGTTAGTATAAATTTGTGAATCGGTATTTAAGCAGAGTTCATAATGTTCAGGATTATTTTGTCAAAGTAAGTGGCTAATCTCAGGCAAATGGGTCTAGGCTGGGCTCTAAGCTTTAGGCATATAAACCTAAATTTAGGATAGCCCACCATTTAATTCAAGTTGGGCCCAAACACTACCTGGTTTGAAAAAGTTGAATAATTCTACTTCGAGTACGATGTTGAAGAGGTAACGTGGATAGTGTAGACATGTAGTGCAAGTTATCAATCTTCTTGGTTTTGAAATGGAACCGTATGAGGAGGAAGAATGAGTTGTTTGAGTGTTAAATTGTTGCAAAACTTATCCGATTAGGATTTACATTGTTAACGGAGAAGACAACATGGGATTCTTAAGAATAAAAATTCCGTATTATACATACATGCTTAACTTATCTTGACTAACTCTTATTTACCGTATTTGACAACCAATTCTAAACCGAACTATACTTAAACTAAATATCCAAATTTAAACATCTGATTTTAAAGTCACAAAGTTATTTTCCACTATCTGCATCCAACATATTTGATTGTCTAGCGGCGAAGACAAGGGGAGGACGGGTGGAGGCCCGACCTCCCCCAGCCTAGTTCCACAACCTTTAATTTCTATAATTGGCCAATATTTAAAAAAAAAAAAAATATAAATCAACTATTTTACCTAAATGTTACTCCGTATAATATAGCAGTTGCCATAATGGCAAATGAGCTATGTGATTTTTTTTTGATTCCCCAACGATTTAAAATTTTGACTTATGTGATTATAGATAATGATTATGCTAATCAAAACCCTTCGATGATTATCAATAATGATTATGCTAATCAAAACTCTCAAGTGATTATCATTAATGATTATGCTAATCAAAATCCTTATTCGAATGTCTTGTTTACTCACGACAAGAGAATAATTGTATTGAGAATAGTTGTATTTAGAAAAATAACAAAAGTAAGAGTCAATTGAGTGGAATAGTGATAACACATCGTGTGATATAATGGTATTGCTAGCATACCACTACCACCACCCTACCGCTATGTTATGAGTCTACTCCCACCTGTTTGACAATTTAAAATTCCTGAAAAGAAGGGAATTCAACCTCCATTTTTGGTCATTCATTATCTTCCCAATAACCTCTTTTTTCAACCTTCATTTCTTCTTACGTGCTCCTCATTTTCTCCCCTTTCCACTTTTCTTTTTCTCTCTCCTCAATTCTATCCTTAAACTTCCATTTTTTTCTTGCGATCACATATATATAATTTATGAAGGTATGCTCTATTTTAATCTTGCTAATTTTTTTTTCATTTCTGGGTTGATTTTAGCATTCATTTTTCGTTTGATTAGATAGAAAACAGAACTTTCGATTGTTTGAATTATTTATTACAATGACTGTCGATTGTTTTAAGTTTTGGTTTTGTGTTTGTATTATTGTTGAGTGTTGACATTCATGCATAGTTTGATTGTTGAAATGATTTATTGCAATTGCGATTATGTTCAAGTCATTAAATTGGTTGATCTTTATATATTATGAATTGAGCTGAATTTGTGGAATTTAGAATATTCAACATTGGTGATGTATGATTTTTGTTGAATTTTACTTCGTATGATCTTAGAGATCACTCTTTTTTTTTTTGTTTTTTTTTTTTTTTTTTTTTTTTTTCAATAAGCCAATGTTAATGTCTATTACTCTATTAAAATTGATTTACCTTCTCAAACAAAATAACTGTCACTTCTTGAACAATAAGGTTAAAGAGGTGAGCAATTAGCGTGCTCGAAAATCTGAATGATCAGTGATGAGTTCGGATGAAGGGATTTGGAGGGAAGGGAATGAAGGCAAAGGAGCAATTAGTGATTAGTTAGAATGAGGGAAGGGAAAGATTATCATTAATTCACTTCCTCGTTTCGAAAACAATGACTTATATTACATTAATATATCTTTTCAGGAGAAAGATTTAAGCAAATAATTTGTGTACTTAAATTGATTAGTGAAGATTATAGTGTGTTTGAAGGAAGGGGTTTGGAGGGAAAAGGATGTGAAGAAGAGCAAGAGATAAGAAAATCTATTTATCCTTCCCTTTATAGCAAGTAAACTTCTCCAAAAGTTGAATATGTTCGGAAGGAATAGCACCTTCCTCTCATCTTTTGTGTTATTTAAATGCGTGAATCTTTGATCAAGGTTCTTTCTCATGTGTTAAGGTATATTGGATTTATGACGGGGGATCATACCAAAGGGGCCAATGGCAATCTCAATATGATTGTATATTTGTATGTAGGGTTGATATGGTTTTGAAATGATTATCTAGATTATCAGAGCATTTGAACCCTGAAAAATGTATTTCGGTCATAAGATAAATGGTTGAATGGAAGGAAACCATGTGCTAAAGTGCACATCAATTATAAACGTGCCATAAGAATGCCAAGATGGATGTGAATTTTATATAATTATTATTGAGGTTGTTTTTACATGTATAATAGCTTCATAAAATTATGGTAATTGTTACAAGTTAAAGCAAATATGGATTACACTAGGTGGCCTAAAATTGTACGGAGTATGGTAAAACTAGATGATGTTTCTCATGGATTTTATTGCCTATGTTTGAGTGACTTTCTATTTTCTTTTGTTATCGAGTGCTCTGTAGTAGGCTATAGTCACGTGTGTCATGATTATTTAATAATCCAATGTGTAGTTTAAAGAAAGAAAGATAGAAGGAATCAGCTAATGTGGTATAGTTTGCTGTCATCATTCGAATGCTTTGTGTTTGGTGACCACTTTCTCAATGTTTATGTTTCACTAAAACTCTAGTTTACAGAAGTTATTGCCATATATGCTGAGCACAATGTTCGGTTTGTTTTTCATTCTTCAATTGTACTTGAATAATGAATGGAACTTTAAACATATAGTTAAGAAATCGTTGCCACAGTGTCTCTTTTAATCTGTTTTTAACGTAGCAATCTTACTGTTTCAGAAACATATTGGGGTTCTATACACAAAAGTATTCAGAATAAGAGAAAATAGATGGCAGTTGGCTCTCTGAGACATCAGTATCCAAAGGGAAAATCCAAGATGACATCTTTCCGGAGAGTTTGTAGATCAATATTAGATCATCCATTTATTATTGTTATGCTATTATTTTTTATATGTTTACATCGATATTTCCCTTTCCTATTCTTTCTCCTGGTGTCTGCTTCCCCAGTCATTATTAGCGCTGCTGTTTTGCTGGGAACCTTATTAATCTATGGGCAACCAAATGACAGCAATGTAAACTCTCATGAAGAAAGGAGTAATACATGTGTGACAACTGAAGTTAATGATCATACTTATTCTGCTGATAGAGAAGGAATCTTAACTAAAGATAGATTTTCTGAGGTCAGAAACGACATAGTAGAGAAGGGCATGAGAGCGTCTGGGATGTTGAGTTCTGGTATTAGTGTTACTGGAGACTTGGCTTACGTAGTTGACCAGGAATACTGCAATGCAGAGCGCAGTAAAGGTAGCACAATTTACAAGGAAAAAAGCAATAATAATTTTGGGTTTGCTAACTTCGAAAAGGCAGATGCTCAAATACCCTGGGATCGAGAGTATGGTGATTCTATCAAGTTGCACCATGATGCTGGTATGCAGAAAAAACATACAGATGATACTGTTAATCATGAATATTCCGATTGTGAGTCTAATGGGGCGGAGAAGTCCTCTTTTGATGCTTTAGTTGCAGATGTTATTCCAAGTGCTCAGGAGACTCACCCACTTCTAGACTCCGAGGATCCATTACATCCTGATGCTTCTCATGGTGCCTCCCTTAAGTTTGGTTTGCAATCCCTTGTTACTGATCACAGTAGTGAGGATTCAGGCGATGATGGTAATGATGATGACATTGATAAAAATGAAGCTCTCAAAGCTAGAGATGATGAAAATAAGGTGGCAGGTTCATGGATGGAAATGGAGAAGAGCCAACATTTGGAAAGCCTGTTTACTAGAACAATTGAGGAAAGAGATGAAGAGGAAGAAGCAGAAGACGATGAAAGTAATGATGACGAAGTTGATGATGAATATGACGATGATGAGGAAGAGGAGAACACAAATGTGGAAAAGGATGAAAGCAAACAAGTCACTATGTGGACAGAAGAGGATGAGAAAAATCTCCGGCTTGTAGGAAATTCTGAGTTGGAAAGAGATTTACGTTTGGAAAATCTTTTAGCAAGGAGAAGGGTGAAAAGGAATTTTTCAATGATTTCGGAGAGGAATTTGATAGACTTGGACCGCCCTGAAATTCCTTTCCAAATTCCACCCATTTCTACAACAAGAGTAAATCCTTTTGATACTCCTGTCAGTACATATCAGCAGCAGTTTGGCATTCCACCTATTCCTGGATCTGCTCCATCTGTTAGTGTACCAAGGAAAAATCCATTCGAATCTCCGTGTACTTCTCCAAAAGGTATTCAGAATCTTGCAGAAGAACATATAGAGGAGACCACGGAAATGAATTTGAATGATGCAATATTTCACGAAAATGGAAGTTCAAGCACAGGATATGATCCCTTGGGGGACATTTTGAAACTGGACTTTGTGGAAGTAAACCGCAAGGACGCTGTGTTCCGCCGGTATGAAAGTTTTAGCACCGGATATAATTTCATGGGTGATACTTCCAGACAGGACTTCATGGAAACAGACCGAAGAGAGGCAGTACTCCGTAGGCACGAAACCTTTAACACCAGATCAACATTTCGAAACATGGTTACTACACCAGAGAAGCTTGCCTATCTTAAAATGAAACCTGTGTTTGTTCCAGAACAAGTGGGAGATCATGAAATGAGACCTCCTTCTTCAGGGAGAGAATCAAGCCATGACAGCGAGTCCACCGTGAGCTCCTCTAATTCCGATCATACTGAATCCCCAACCACTCTTTCAATGCATGAGGACGTGGAATCCAATAAAGACTTGATTGCTGAAAGTGATCATGCTTCTATCCGCTCTGAAGACTCGAGAAGTGAGTCTTCTGACTCGGTAGATTCTCTACACGAAGATCCTGAAGAATTTGTGGGAAGTTTGGAAGCAAATGCAGAAGTACATGCTGATCATATTCATCAGAAAGCAGATGCTGCTCATGAGAACAAAGATGATACTTCGAGCAGTACTTCAACTACATCAGAAGTGGATCAGAGCTCTGAAAAATTAGGCCAAGGTGAAGATGAAGCCGTCAATGATAATTTTGTGCACTCACCTAAAGCTTCTTCGACCATGTCAGACGTCAACCCCGTTAACATGGAGGAAGACCATGGGATTATAGAGCCTCCAGTCTATGATTCAAGCCCTTCAGGTACTGATAAAATCACGCCATTTTCTATCATGCTCAAGAGTAATGGAGAAATTTGATTACAACTGGCGGTTTCCAACATGTAATTAGGAGGATAACTTTAACATTGTTCTGTAAAAAAGGATCATGCTGTACATGAAACTCACGACAATATAGTCACATACGGAGTAATGTAGAGATAGTAGAATAGATCATTGTTCTTATGAGCCTTCATAAGTTGTAGAAGTTTTTTCGTCGTGATTTTACCAGACATAAAATCATATCATTTTGACTTTTTGAAATGCTTTGGAGTGAAAATATAAATCTTCTGTTAGTATTAGCTTTACATATACACGGCTTATACGCGATTCTTATTGTCCTTGTGGCCTTTCAATCAAGTAGGCTTGCATTTCTTCTTCCATGTGTTGGAGGGGCATCCAATATATTCAAGAGAAGGAAGCTTCACTATACTAATGCTTCCTGAATATTTTGAAATTGAATTTTCCATGCCTTTATTGTCCAAGAATTCATTCATAATGCTATTTATAACTTGGGCCTAGTTTCTCTCTCATTCGCTCCTTTCAGCTGGATTGGCCCAATCTTTCTAGTGTCAGACATGGCCCATGGGCTTCAATGGTTATCGTTAAATTTTAGGGCCCATTATGTTGTGGGTTTCGAAATCAACAAATGAGTTCATCAAATGGCCAGAGGGCTAACTTTTGGGAATTTGATTGTAACACTCATTAAGTTATATTTTGTTGGAAAAAAAAAAAAAAAAAGTTATACTTCGTATTTACTATAGAAGTATAGAGTACTTATGTTGATTAATATAGCCAACTAATTAATGTTCATGATAAATTTTCTATTCAATATAATCCTATTCTTATCTTTTTTTATACTTATCATACAATACTTGACCCCAAACTTTAAGTACCACCCCAACTATTTTAAAAATAAAATTAGGCGGCATCTAATCAATCCATCGATTGAGTTTCTTCTCGAAAAATCTCTTTATATCTCGCATGTCCTCACTTGAGTACAAAGGATCAACTGTAGAAATCCTTCCAAGCAAAGGCTTAAAGTCTGAGCTTCAATGAGTGGTCCATTTATAATTTTTTTTTTTTTTTTTTGCCTTACACCTTCATTTCATTAGGTGTGGGAAAATTAAGCCAATTATGAAATCTTTGTTTGGAATTGAAAAATGGGTCCATTTTTAAATAATGGTCCCAACTTCCCATTTTTTTCTTACAATATAGTTCCATGTCCGAATAATAATAAATGGATTATACATACAATCACCCACTCACCCACCCATTATGACCCATGCATCTTAACCTTATCAACCAAATAATCCCCTTTGCTTTCACCTAATCTAATCTTTGTCACACCTTTTTATTATTTTTATTTTCTTTTTTGTTTTGACCCAATGATGTTACTTCTAAATTTTTATCGTCTCACTTTATGTTTTCTAATGTCATCAATTTATCTTGGATGTATTCTATTTTGGTAGTTGATAATGAAATCCATCTAATTCTCTCCTTTTGAGGCTATTAGTGCACCATTTAATTATGGTGCATATTTTTGGGTTTAGGGGTAGCACCAAATTAAATTTAGAGGCTTGAAAATGCTAGGGTGAAAAAGAACGGCCGGTCTTGAATGAGATATTCTCAAATTAATCTATTGTAAGATCATGACAACTTTAGTGAAAATTTATTTTTAAGTGATATGTAGAGATATTTATAAGCGTCTCATATAAGATAATTGTACACAAAACTTTCTCAATAGTTCCAATCTACTACGAAGTACATTTGAAAGATTATTTCTATAATGTGAATTGTTAGAACTAATCCACGTTTTCATTCTGATACTTATTTATTTCATTATCGTGGTTTGAAAATTAAATCTAATGATATGGTCCATCATCTAAGCCAAACATATTAGCATTATTATAAAATATGGCATATATATATTATCCGATTGCATTGCTGTAGAAGAATAGTCACATCTCAACGTATTATGTTACTTATTATCATTGTTTTTGCCGTTTCTTTTCCAAGAGAGAACATGGTTTGGAAGTTGGATACTTGAGTGTATGTCAATCATATATTCATATAATATACATACGATTATATTATAATAAAGTTATTGTTATATAACATCTACACATTTTTTTTATGAAAAAAAACAGGAAGAAGAAAGTGATTGGTATGTAGGACTTGTTTGGCATGGCTTTAACAAGTAGAGGTAACATGGAAAGCTAAACTTATGAATCCAACACCTAACAAGAAAACTAAAAACTGAACAAAAACAGCTTTACCTAGCTATCCCTTAACTTTGATCATAGCAAAAAAAACAAAGCAAGGTACTATATTAGATAGAAATCTTATACTATACATTGTTTTATTTTATTTGTAACTTTCATGTCTTGTATCATTGTCTAACTTGACGTATCATATGGCATCATCTCTAGCTTTGCTTTCAAGGGCCCTTTGCTAGCATTCATTTTAGTTGGTGATCCTTGTGTGTGTAAATTAAAATATACACATGTATGTACAATAATACACATGCATCATGGCCGGCCTTCCTGTTTGCTTATCGTTTTTTCTTCACAAATGATATGACATGTAGTGTTATTTTCGTCCCTAACTAAATATATGTTCAATCATATAAAAATAATACTTAATAATCCTATATTACTTTGTAAATGTACTAAATTAGAATTTGAATATAAAATAGTTTAGCTTTAGGGCGAATGTCGTTGGATCAAATCTCATCCTAATCAAATTAAGAGGATTTCACTAGGGTAAAAAAAAAAAAAAAAAAAAAAAAAAAAAAAAAAAAACCCTAATTTAAAGGAAAAATTACTAAGTTTGGAGTAGCAAGACCCTCAACATGCTTTCACACACACACACACACACACGTTATTTATGTAACTTAAATCACCAAACAAAAATCTACCCAATTATTCTGTCAAGAAATTAGTGTTTTCCTTCACATCGATGATCAAATATCCTAGAAGCAACTAATGTAAGTACTATCTTTGTTGATACGATTCTTCCTAATGTACCATCAAAATGTAATGCCCCATTGTACAATTTGCATCATGCAATTGACACAATTTCCTCCAATTTACCAACTACCACGAGTCTCATAAATTAGAAACGCAACTTGGTACTAGAGAGGTAGAGATGAGTATAGACAACATTGACATTAAGAGGGACATAACATTATGGCTACCTATTTTTGCTATTCAATCACATTTAAAAGGAAACTATGATGTGGTATTGTTTTGCCGATTTCAATAATATTGTTGAAATATCGTTGCCTTAAGAAAATCAATCAACGGAAAATTTCCATTTTGTTGTCGTCATTGTTTATGTCAATTCTTTTCTACACGGCTTTTAGGGAAATACAACTAAGAAGTAATGTTGTATGTTAGATGACAGTATGACTTAACTATAAAATATTCATAATTTTTTATTATTTAATTTTTTGTATCTCAAATACTTTGTATTAGATTAGAGAGTACGTAATAATTTGGATACTAACCACCAAAAATATCCCTAAAGAAAAAACCAAAAAAAATCATCAAAAATTCGCAATGATGACTGATGAGTTATGACTACCTTTCTACTTATTCTGTTGCAAAAGCAGCATGTATTTTTACTGGCAATGTAATTTTTCTGTGTGGTCTCAACCAAAAAGAGTCTATATCCCGATCACTAATTATTTTTTTTTAGGAAGAAAAATGCATGAGAAAATTTTCCAACGACAAATAAAACATTTACCATGAAAAAATTTCATTATTATTAACAAGTTTCATTTTACTCTTAGTTAAAAGATACAGTGTCAATCACTTCATCAATTCTTTGAATCAATCGACCCTTTTTTTCGTGGGCTATTAGATACGGCCCAATAAAACATTGCCGACGATTCCTCGTGCAATATGGCCCAATCACCAACTCTTTATATTGAATAAATAATGTATGTTTTGTTTTGTTGTGCTTTTTCACCCCTTTCCTTTTGAGAAAGCACATAGTTGTATAAGTGACTAAGACCATCCAACATGGATCCAAGGATGAACAAGAAAGCAAATAAATTGAAGTTATATCCTTTAATCTTTGCTATTAAAAATGAAGATCTTCTCAAGAATCTCAACTTTAGACCAAAATCATTAAAATTCCTTTTAGCCACTTGAATGAAGTTTAGTTCTAAAATCTAGATTCCACACTCATCGCTCTGATTTTGGAAATAGTACGACATTACACAATAGAAAGACATACATACATGTATAACAATGAACATTGATTAGAACGATTATAACTTAACGATAACAGTAACATACAAATAACTAATTGGGTTCGACGAAATTTTCTCTAATTTAGACCTTGCTCAGATTAGTGAAAATCAAATGAATTGAATACACCCTTGAAGTATGAGATTAAAGTGATGCTTTCGTACCTTACAAGTTTGAGAGTGACCACCTATAAGCTAGTAAAATGTTAAGTCTCACTCAATATCTTACTTCACCCGAAAAAAGAAGGTATAATGAGTTACGAGTGTTATACATAAGTAGTCGTATAAGTAATAAATAGTGTGTGTGATGGGTGAAATTTCAGTTATTGAAACGGTCATCCATTAATAGGTCAAAGTTACCGTCCACTACATATCACATCACGTCGGGGCCAAATGCATGCGAATAGCATTGCATTGTGGTACTTTGGTACTATTCTTTTTGGTACGTAACATAATTACAATTTACTATTATTCTTGGTTTAGTATTATTATTTTTTTATTATTATTATTATTAATATGTATTTTGTTAAGGAAAATAAGTTCGCTGAAATATCGCCGTGATTGTTTGAAATTAGAAGTCATTAGCAAAGCTATAACTATGGCTATAAAGTTAAGTCAGACTTTGTTTAATTAGCTGCTAAGTATCATTAAATTACAAATCAATTTGTCAAAACTCTTCAAAGTTTGAAATCTACTCTCTTTTGAACTTTGTCCTATAAATTAAATATACTCTCTGTATATATATTTTTTATTTTAGAGAAAAAACAATTTGTTACATGTCAAATAATTAATTATCAAGTGTTATTTAATTTACTCGTATTATTTTTAGTTCAGCTAAAATGTTTAAATCAACACGCATTGAAAATATAAAATGCTTGATATTTTAGGTGGGGGACTTAGGTGACATGAAATCTTAGAATTATTCTCCGTTGGTACTTCAACTCTATATCAAGCACGTACATAAGATGTAGAGAAAATACGCGAGACAACACACACCAACAAGGTCAAGACATATACCGCGAGTGCAG